ATTTCCGCAAGCCAAAATAATAATGACCGATAATGAACCGAGCTTTACCTCGGCCCAATTTAAATCTTTTGCACAAAGGTGCGGTTTAACTTTACATTACGCAGACCCGAGGCACAGTACCTCAAACGGACAAGTTGAAAGGGCACATTCTACATTAACAGAATTAGCTCGATGCATAAAAGAAGAATTTAATTTAACAGACTATTCCGAAATAGTAATAAGAGCCGCTCAAGAATATAATCAGAGCATTCATTCAACAACGAACCAAAAACCTTTTGACGTACTATATAATAAAATAGAGCACGATAACATTCCTAAAATTTTAAAAAATACACAAGAAAAAATGTTAGAAATACATAATGAAAACAGAAAAAACAAAGATTATCATGTAAGACAGGTAGTTTATGAGAAGAAACACGGGGAAAGAAATAAACTTAAAACTAGATATAAAAAACAAGTAGTTAAAGAAAATTTACCTAACAAAATAATAATCAACAATAGAAATAGGATTATTCACAAAGATAATATAAAATTCTAAATATTTATATATTACTTTTTTTTACCTTTTGCAGAAAATGTTTTATCAGCTGCTCATATTACACCTTATTTTATTAACAAAATCAGAAATAATTGACTATACAAGTCACGAGTATCTTTTATTCAAGGACAATAAAGACGTATTGACGTACGATTCATACGCAGATTTATTCCACGTAACTAACTTAAGTTTTTATAAAGAAATAATAAAATTGGAATCAGATAATATAAAAAGGGATTCTAATAAAAGGTCACAATGGGAAATTAAATATGACATAGAAGTAATCGAATTAATTTTATCACAATTAATATCAACTAGATCAAAAAGAGGTATAAACGAGTTAGGCACTGTATGGAAATGGTTAGCTGGAACCCCGGATCATGATGATTTTATTAAAGTTCAGAATAAAATCAATGAATTAATTGAAAATAATAATAAGCAATCTATTATCAATTCCAAATTGTTCAAAGAAATTGAATCTCTTTCTGATGATTTTAAAAATGTTTTTATTGATCAAGATTTACCACTGCGAAAACATCGTTTACGATTACTAACATTTGATCTGCAAAATTTAATTGACACAATTACACTAGCAAAAATTGATGTTTTTAATACCAAAATTTTGAACAATGATGACATCATGGAAATATTAAAACATGAACAAAAACCAGTAATTATCGCTGATTTAATGGACATCTCTGTATTTAAAATCGCACTCCATAAAGAACTTTTAATCATTTATATAAAATACCCAATAATTAAAAATAGATGCGAAATTTATCACGCTAGAGCGATATCTCAAAAAGATGGGAAACTAGTATTAAGCAATGAAGTCGCAAAATGCGCAAATATGTTTTATGAAATGTCTAACTTTAAAAACGAACTTTTTAATAATTATTGCACTTTAATTAAGGAAAAAGTTGTTTCACCCGATTATTAAATGGAGAGAAATCGACTTGTAAAAAAATAAGAGAAAAAAAAAAAAATTGACATCATACAAGATGGTGCCATTCTTATAACTGGTAACAATATTGTTAACAACTCCCATTTAAACGGTTCATTTTTAATAACATTTAATGACACAACCAATATTAATAATATCTCATATACCAATTTGGAAAACAAAATTCTTGATTACATAACTACGAATCACTTCAAAAATTATGAAATATCCGATTATATACTATCAAATAACTCGGAACTTTCTTTAGATAATATAAACATTTTAAATCCATTTATTAAAATTAATAATACTAAAATATCACTTACCTTTATATTATTAATTTTAATCATTATATATTTGATTTTTTTACTTATTATAAAATACAAAAATGCTATATTATTTGTAACCAAAAAACAACGGCCAGAACCAGAAAAATCTATTAACCAAGAAAATTTTATAACAGAATTAAGAGAGCAATTAAATGAATTTCATATTGAATCGGGACGATCCATTTTAGAAGGGGGAGAGTTATCCAACCCGTGAAACCAGGCCACTTATGGCTTTTATAAACAATATTTTCAAACTCTGCATTTGCCTTTGTCTTTGCCTTTGGCTTTGAGGTCCGATCTTGGTTCCCCAACTAAGTTAAACAAATCAAAATTAAAGTAAACATCAGCTTCTGTTCGAAGCCCAATCAATTGCTAATTGAATTTCACAATGAAATGCGACAGTTTCATCTTGAGCGCAAATTAAAATTAAAGTAAACATCAGCTTCCGTTTGAATCCCAATCAATTGCGCCCTTTTGCGTTTCAAGTTCCCACCAAATTGCATCGGTCAGCATAATTGAATTTCACAATGAGATGCAACAGTTTCATCCTAAGCTTTTAATCTAAACATAAATTGAAGTTCTAAAGTTCAAAAAGAAAAGCTCCTGGCCGAGGTTCATTGGATTAGATTTAGAAAAAAAGCGGCAGTCCTATTTTCATCGTGACCGCGATCGGTTGTATAAAACATTAGAAAGTAAAAAGTGTCTTGTATTAAAAGTGTTTAAGAATAAAAGGTTTATCACCAAATAAATATAATAAAAAAAATTGTATTTTTTTAATTCATCGAACAACACAAAATTTTATTTGCACACATACATTCGTCGGCTGTCGCAGTATGCGTGCAAAGAGCGGCTGGCTTTTGAGCGCTCTCTCGCTGACTTTTGGGCAGAGAGCGAAAAGCCGTGTGTGCAAAAAAATCGTATGGCGTTTCGCATCCTGGAGTTTATATTGGTCTTTGGCCATACCCTGTCATACCCTGGCTTGAGAAACGTCCCAAATGCGGTTTGAATTTCCGATGTTATATGGTTTACCTGCTCGATGGTACCATGTTTTTCGCGAAAGCCGAATTGATGTGCTGGGATTATGTTGTTGTTTCTTAGATACGGTACAATACTAGTCAACAGGCATTTTTCAAAGAAATTGTATAGGCGTGATATTCGACTTATAGGCTTATAAGGGGAGGCGGCTGTGTGATCTTTTCTAGGCTTAGGTATCATTATAATGATCGACTTCTTCCACTTCGCATCATTGCATTGAAGGGCTGGCATGTGGGAGTTATTAGATCGCATCCTGGAGATTTTTGTGGTTACAGGTGCACCCTTCTGACCTTGGCATATTACTCGGCGTAAATTCAATGTGACCGTGTACGTTGGCTGGAAGACATTCTCAAGATGGATAGCGAATGTGTCGGCTCTATGCAGGGAAGACATTGATTATTTTGATATAGTGTTTTGGAGCAACTGAATCAAGATATCTTGATTTCTCATCAGACTTTGCATGGTAGTCTCCATAAATTGTATGAACTCTTGAATACTTTGTTACAGGTTACATATCAATATTTCCATTTTGGTAACTGTCTGTTTAATAGGTTGGAAGGAGGCAGCAGGCGATATTTCATCATTGAAGGTAGTGTCGGCAAAGCTTACGTTCTTGGAAACGTTTGAGCTACCCAATGAAGATCTCCCTGCAGTTAAAAAGAAACCGGTTGGGTAGATTTCAAAGGTATCAATGATGCTGTCTGGGACCGAGATGTAGACACTTTGTGTTTTATCCGGTTTTTTCCAGCTCCTTGTAACCCGGGCAACCTCTATAGTTTGCCGCACATACGGGGCGAAGCGTGCAGTAAGATTTCGTGTGTCCAAATTCTTGTCAAATTGTGCATTGTACCGGGCCATTGCGCTTATGCGGCTTCTCAACAGAGACTCTGCGGTGAAGTAAGTACTGGAGCTTGTAGATGGAATATATTTTATTCCTTTTCAAAGCTTTAAGCGGTGGTACCAGTGCCACTTTGAATAAGGGTTCAGGGCATTGGTTTCTGTTAATTATGTTGGTAACAGTTTTTACTTCAAATGCGTTCTTCCTAAATGCATGAGCTATTACAATTGGTTGTAGATTACGACTTAGAAAATCAGCATAGGCCAATTATTTTAGATACTTCTGGTTCGCGTTGCTGTTCAGCGAGTACCCAGTTGTCAGAGATACGCTTCTGTTGCCTATTGTAATTGTGTAGTCATTTCAGCAGGAGTGGATAAGGACTTAGAAAATCAGCAAGGGCCATTCTCTACGCTTTCCTGTACTTAATGCTAAATTGGAAGAATTGCAAGTACCCCCACGAATCGCTTTTAATGAATCACAGTTCGTAAAAATGACAAATTCTTGTCCTTGTAAATTATTTATAGTAGAAACAAAAGATTTAACAATTCTAGGAATTCGAAAACGAATTAGCGGAAATAGGAAGCCAATCCGTTAATTGCTTTCACTGCGATACCGTTTGCGGAGGGGGTAATTCTACGAATCTTTTGGTCGTGTTTCTTGCCAACTAACTGAGTAGCTTATTTGCTGTGTGAGGGACATACACTTGATTATGTTTAAAGGAGAAACCTGGTTCCATTAATATTTATAAAACTTGTCTAGTCTTTCCATTGCCTGTACTTTGGTTTCTGTCACTAACAAAACGTCATCAATTTGAACGATGACAAATGTATGAGCTACCGATCCCAATGCTTTAATTATTGTACGTTGAAACACCGATTGCGCGATTTAAAACTCGAATGGCATTGCGAGAAATTTATACTGCCCCTCGGGGGTTACAAATACCTTAATTAACTATTATTTGGAAGAGCCGTGTCATGGAACTCGTTAGCGATAACGTATTCGGTTTACCAGTCAAACTTTGAGGAGTGGAGTTAAAGCTAATCAGACCATAAGCGCGATGAGATGTAACCCCGCATTTCCTACTCCGGAGCGACAGCTATGTTTACTAACAACGCTATTCAACTTAGTCTCCCAACAACTCCTGGGAGAACGACCACGTCATATCGGTAAGGTCTGTTAACCGACACAACAATTGTAAGAATTGTTGTGCAATAAGTTAAACATATTGTTCTGTAAGGAACAACACAGTCAAAACTGAAAATAATTGGTAGCTCTTTTCTAAAACTAATAGCTTATTTTGTTTAAAACCACTTTGGATTATATATAATAATTGAATATTTATTATAATAATTTATTTAATATGACTATAGGAATTACAATTATTTTTTTGTATTTCTGTATTGAATAGAGCGTGTTCTTTTACAATGGGTCCTTTGGAATACGCTGTGATCTGGAACAAAAAGATAATGTAAGTATTATTAAACTGAATAATACTAATAATAAAAAGATAGGAAGCTTAAATAGTTGCATATTATTTTTTTTCTGACGCAAACTTAATACTTTTACAACCATTTGTTTCGGTAGCAACATCGATAGGTCCAAATATATGTCTTACAGCGCCAGCTGTACTTGGAAATAAGCGTTTAGAAGGATTGCATTAGAATTCCTTATCACCTACCAAATTCAGACCCTTCTGACACATGATTAAAAGGGCGCTTTTAAGCACATTGAAAGAAAATAAATTTTTATTTAATTTTTTTTGTACAATATGTTTTACTTATTAAATCTTATTAATGATACTAAAAATAATGTACCAGAAATAAACACGGCCTCTTTATTTAACATTAATTTCTTATACACGTTCTATTTGCTTCTTGGTTCGATCGAGACGGAGCTTCGCTGCACGCAGGCACCTCTTTCTCTCTCTCTTGAGAGAGAGGGATAGCACCTCTTTTGAAAGAGAGAGCCACTGCTCTAATAGTGTGGCCAGCTTACCTTTAATATGCTTGGCCAGTTGCAATAAGTAGATCAAATCTTAACAAGAAATAAATTATACCCTTGCCGTTATTACAAATCGACTATATTTCGATTTTTATGCATATATTACTAAAAACAATGAAGTTATGTCGATTTGCGCTTCATTACTTCTTTAACCAGCCCTGGTTAAAAAACGATTTTGACCAACTTCTGAGCACGCTGGGTCCCAGGTTGTTAGCTGGAGGTGACTACAATGCGAATTATCGATGGTGGGGCAACTTAAGGGCCATGTTGTCGAGGAAAACGTCTACAACAAGCAATAGCAACTAGCTTTTCCCATCTAACACAAGGCTTACTCCAACGGCTCTGGATTTTTTCATTACAAATGAAGTTCCAATCAACAAACTGTCAATCGAAACAAAATATGAACTGTCCTCTGATCACCTGCAGGTTATTGCAACACTAAGCCACACAGTGCAATATAATCCCGGAAGAAAAACCATACTACCGCCCAGCTCTTCCATCGAAAAATTTAAGGATGCTTTAGACAAAAGCATTAATCTAAATAATATGCAATCAAATAGGAAATTCAGTGTGGTTGTCGACGGTGAAAAATCGTCCAAACGTCCTATCTCCGCAGGCGTACCCCAAGGCAGTGTACTGGGCCCGACTCTTTACTCGCTGTATACTTCAGATATGACTGATTCCTGGGAATGTACAGAAGTTGACGAGGGTAACATGCTCATCGCTACGTATGCCGACGACACTGCAGTAATGGTCAGGAGTACTAGCATAGACATTGCAACAACAGGATTACAACAGTATGTGACGCGATTTGAAAAGTGGACCACTGAATGGAACATAGGCATTAATTGCAGCAAATGTGCTTGTGTCACATTCGCGAAAAGACCTTTGGATTGTTAAGGAATCACTACGCTTGCCAATTCCCTTCGTCGCGAGACTTTTTATAAGTACCTTGGTGTGATCTTGGACAGAGGACTTATCTTTCAGAGGCACACAACAATGCTTTCAAAGGCAGCCAAGATGTCGAGGCTTCTGTCTCCGAGAAATCAGTTCTCACTGTCAAACAAAGTTTGCATTTACAAATCCATCTTGAGCCCAATCTGGAAGTACGCGCTACAAGTCTACGGTATAACAGCTAAATCGAAACTCAACAAAATTCGAGTTGCACAAAGTAAAATCGTTGGATTACTTTGCAATGCCCCTGGTACATGAGAACTAGAGACATCGAAAGAGATCTTTTAATTCCAAACATAGGCGATGTATGTAGGACACACGCGCAAAATTACATCAGAAGACTTGGCTCTCAGCCTAACTCCCTCGCCAGAAGTCTTACTCGTAGACCAACAAATAGAAGACTGAAAAGAGATTCCACCCTCACGATCTACCATCGAGAAATATATAAATATAAATTAATATTATTATTTCCAAACTAAAAAATTATATACTCTTGATCAAGAAATGTGAAATAATGTATATAATGTTATACCTATGAAAGCAATATTACATTTACAACCTGGTCAAGCTGCCACATGGGTTGCAGAAAACTTCTTAAAAACTTGTTTAATAAAAAATATACTTTTAATTAAAAAAAAACTTTGGCGTTTGAGCTAACTGGTTTGTTTTACAATATCATGTACCATCTAAGGAAAGCTATATTCTGCAATCTAAAGTTAAGATGTTTTGCCCATATCGTCCCATAAATTAAATGCTCGTTCCTAAAACAGGTAACATCGTAAAAAATGACTATATGTTTAAAATCAAACAAATACAAAACTATCCAAACATGTTTTAGAAAATTAGTCTGAAAAACACTTATTTTAAAGCTGATTTTTTTCTGTGTACTAATGTAGTGAGGCTTTAAAAACTTACCTTAAGTTATTCATGTAATTTTATGAAAGTTTTATTAGTCATCTCTCTCTTCGATACATTTGCTCTTTAAGACTTGAAATATATAACAACATTTTTACTGATATGATAGTAATCATTGCAGTGTAAGCCCTAATCCCAATGGCAGCACTAGTTTGCATTGCTGCCGGCTGTTCACCTGTATCAATTAAAAAAGTTAAACCAAAAAAACAAAGTCAAAATACCTTAATTTTGATTACTTACCGGTTAATACATGAACCCTAACAGAGGCTGGAATGGCTCCATTTGGAACGCAAGTATAGTTTCCAGAGTCCCGTAATGAAGCTCGCGTTAGCATCAATCGACTAGTGGTTCCTATATCAGTTTTTTCCGTTTCCAAACTTATACCGCCACGGAGTGAATCAAAATCAACTATTGATGAGCCATGATACCTTCCAGGAGTTAATAAAAAATTCGTTAGAAATTTTTTACAACAAGTTAATATCTTACCAAATGACAGATGATGCATGGGTATTCACTGAGCAAGCCAGAGCAATAGTGCTATCACGTTTAACATGGATTTCCATGGATCCAAGTATTTTAGCTCGAGCGGCTTTTTAAGGGGACTATTAATTCTTAATTGAACACTTAAAAATAGCTAGTAAAACTTTACCTTTTGAATCGTAAAACCTCTTTTCCGTTTTTAAATCTCGAAAGTCATTATCAGCTGAAAAATAATAACGAAAAATATGTAATGTCAATTATTTTACCACTTCAAGTTGAGTAAATAAGATAAATAAGTTCATTTATAGAGTAGACCATAACAAAGCACATCAGAAAAAAAATTTTTAAATTCCTTTATTTGTGTTTATATGAAAAACAAATTTTTTTTTCAATAAAAATTTGTTCCAGCTTTTTTTTTAAATAATATTGCTCTATCTGTTTTTTTTTTGCGTTTTTCATTATAGTTTATATAGTGAACATTTCTGTTTGTATATTGTTCAGCAAATCGATTGATAAGCGGGATGTATGGCATGTAGCGTCGTCCTTTTGAAATCATTAATTTTTAACAAAAGGCACGTTAAGTTTACACAACTGAAAACTCATTTTGATTGAGCTGAACGATTTCACTAAGTTCTTTTGGAGAATATTAGTTGATCGGCCGCCTGTCTGTTTGTTTATTTTTGGTTGATATCTTGGGGACATTAAAAGTAAAAAAAATAGTTTCTTTAAACAACTAAAAGTATCTGCCACGAGAAGTCTGACAGAGATCAAAGCAGAATAAAGTCCAGCAGAACACACAAATCTTGGTCATATTTTAAAATCTTAAAGCGCAATTGTAGCTCAAATTTCTAATTGGTTTTAGCTCAGTGTTGGTGGTTACCCCTTCGGCCGAAATTGGCTATCTGGTTTAACTTGCCCGTCATTTGAACCCTCGTCGCTCCTTTTATGCATGTTGATGCCAACAGTTTGGAAGTTTGCATCTTAGAGTTACTTCAAATATAAGCTGACACTTGATCCCAAATAAGATAAGCTTACTATTATACCCTTGCCGAGGGTTTTATAATTTCAGCCAAAAGCTTGCAATGTAGTGAAGGAGACAATTCCGAACCTGTAAAGCAGGGGTGCTCAAAATTAACTTGTGGCAGTGCCCTTACCAACATAAATAAAAGAAAACACACGCACACATGGATTGATGCCGTTTTCATGATGAACACTGAGAGAAGGGAAACACGTTTAATTCTTACAAATATTGTTTTTTCTTCGAAGTTATTTTCAATAAATTAAAGAATTTGTTGTACATCAAAGTCATAAATTGTATCAAAGGTCATTATGATCTGGAATCAATCCTTTTCCCACATAAAATATTTATCCCTAAAATATTTCTTTACCGGCAACAAAACCTTGTTGCAAATAAGTCATTGTTATAAAAGTAACGGGTTTAAAAATCAGAGAAGCCTATCTTACACAACAGAAAAGTAGAGCAAACGTATGCAACCCATCTCCGACCCTTTCATCTATATGTAGGAGATATAGGGTCAGGTTCCTCGGCCATTATAAATCAGGGTTTCTTCCAATACACAGCGCAGCGAGTCGCAATGGTTTTTCTCAACACTCTATACTTTTTGTCTGTTCTCTCGGAAGGGTTAAGTCGAACTACCCCGCTCTCCTTTGCTCATTTTACTCTTCATCATTGCGCCACGCTCAGCAGGGATTTCGCTCTCCTTCCCCACCGCGCTCTCACACTAAATCTCTCTCTTTCTGCAATCTTCTTTGAACTTTATTTATTCTGCATAACTTATACACTGAGAGACTTACAAATAATAATTAAATCTAATATTTCAAATAAAACTCCGACATATATGTATTTGTCGCTGATTCACTTAAACTGTGCTCTTTTTCAGGCTGCTCATCGTCCTGCTCCAAATAGAAATGGAAATTTTTCTGGCATGTGATCTTCACTGTTTGGCATTTCAAATGCGAATGAACTCTGTCACTGCTAGCGTCCCTTTGCTATTGTGTCGTGCACTTCTAATTAATTAATGGGAATTTTTATAAGTTAGAATGCCTTTCAATGCTTTGAGTTTATATCGATCTCCTGGTGTGTGTTGTGTTATAATTTTGTCTGATGTCGCTCCTCATTCTTGATTAGGACATGATCCCAATAGTGATCCTTAAAATAGAGGCTTTATTCTAATCGAATCTTCACTTTTTATATTTGGCATTTTTTCCATCTTATGCTTAGCTATATTTATATATATTATATATATACATATACGGCCAGTGAGAAGATAGATGCGAGATAGGAAAATATAGGTAAAAGTCCGGTGAAAAAAGTAATAGTAAGATCAATTTTATGCCAATGAAGTTAGTATTAATCGTTTTTGGAGCGTCAGAGAGCCAAGATTTGATATTATAGTCAGAACATAATACTCTGAAAGGCTCATGCAAGGCATATTTAGATCTACAATGATTTAAAATTAGGGGAATAAAATTTCTAGATAATCTACTTGGCACAAAAAAGTTTAGCCGAGAGAGAAAGCCTACATGCGCCATTCTATCACCTGGTCTATACTCAATATCGAATTTAAAAAACTGTGTATATGACCACGAGCTTTGAACTTAAGGAGTTAGTTCAGCTTTTGTTTTAGAAGTCTTGAGCGAGTTACCATACGTATACACTGTAAAGTTACAAAGTCACAGTAATGGCGAAAATACTTCATAGAAATATATGTATACTGCAAGCGTTTCCAACTCGCATTTCGGCAGGCGAAATCATTCTGCTAAAATAATCAATCACCCGAGGCTTTTTCTCGATTCTATACAATAACAAGAGAGAACGCTATAGTCGAGTGCCTCGACTATTAGATACCCGTTACTCAGCTAAACAACTTAATATAAGATTAAGTATTAAATAGTATTATGTATATAAAGTCTAAATGTTTGCGCAACACGAGTAACGGTAATAGCGAATAGCTTTCTTTGAAAGGAGTTATTTTTGCCTGGCAATTGCAACTGTGTACAATGTAAATACATACATATATATATGCTTACATACATACACACATACGCCATTGTTTGACTCAGACCTCCAATTTGGCTAACTTGATTTGATTTGCATAGTTCTTGGGATATAGTTCGGTATTGACAAATGAAAACCATCGCAATTTCCTTTAATAGAAATCCTTATCGAGAATTAACGTTGACTTTGTTGAGCACCTTGGCCAGCTGTTCCAAAGTCATCCGGTAGATGGCGCCATGAAAGGCGGAAATGTAGGCGCTAGCCAGGCTTAAGCGTTTTATGGGTTTTTGGGCGTTAGAGTGGGCGTGGCAAACTTTTATTAGGCCAATCGATAGGTATTGACGAAACAAATACATATCAATTAAAAGTTTCATAATAGCATCAAAACTGTGGCCACAGCTTGTGGCTTGTGGGCGTCAGAGGGGGCGTGGCACCATTTTGAAACCAACTTGCGCTGCGTAGGAACTCCTAAAATCTACATGCAAAATGCCAATCTTCTAGCTTTTATAGTTTCCGAGATCTCAGCGTTCATACGGACAGACAGACAGACGGACAGACGGACATGGCTAGATCAAAGACCAATATAAACTCCAAGATGCGTAACGCCATACGATTTTTTTGCACACGAATTTTTTGTGCTGGCTTTTCAACTGGCTTTTCGCTCTCTGCCCAAAAGCCAGCGAGAGAGCGCTCTAAAGCCAGCCGCTCTTTGAACGCATACTGCGACAGCCGACGAATGTATGTGTGCACATGTATTCACAAGCGAATAAATTCGCTGCAGCGCGCTGTCGAAATATACTCTTTATTTTAAAATTATAACATTATTAAAAATACTTATTTTGTATTGCCTTTATATTTACTTTATTTACTAATTATTCGAATGTATAATATTTTTTAGTAATGACCAAATATGTCTAAGTATAAAAAAATAACATAATTTATTTCATACATGACTTCACATTGGAATAATTGTCATTAGGGTATTCAGCATCCGACGTGTGAACGATTTTTAGGAGCCTCAGAAATTTTGCGATTGAACAGGATGAATATTTTTATATTTGTTGTATTTTAAATATATGGATTAAAAAATATGTGTTATTTTTATATTATACGTATTATATTAGCATTATATAAAATTATTATCATAATATAAATTAAATTTATATAAATATTTGTAAATTAACTATTTTAATTATTTAGAAAAAAGAGAAACCCAAAGGCGAAACAAAAAAGGTTTAAATAATTTAAGTAGTCTATATATTGAATATACTATTTAATAATTAAAATAGTTAATATATTAATTATACTACCTAATTAAAATAGTTAATAAACAAATACATACTTAAATATTATTTATACATTTTATAAAAATTACCCATTTTTAGTATTTCTTATGAATATTAAATTTGGTTAAATGATTTTGCGCCTTTTAATTTGATTTGTAAAACGCTCGCTTTTGTTATATATTGTTATTATTTTATTTTATTATAAATAGTTTAACTTTTTATAAAATAATAATATTAGCTTTAAATATTTATTAGATATACAAAAAAAACGATGGATAAATAAAAATGAATATCTGCATATCAAATTAAATGTTTCGTTTTATTTATTTAAATTAATTATAAAAACATACCTTTTAACACAAAACAAATAAAACTGCTTGACTAAATAAGAATAAATTTAAATGCAGGTTGATAATATTAGATATGATGTTATTCGTATTAACTTTAAATTTTTTAAGTCATTAGATCAAAGTTTAATATATTTGAATAAAAATTAAATTAAATATTTCCATTTTAAAGTTAATATAAACAGCCATGGATAAAAAAAGCGAAATATATTTAATTAAATATCCTTTAAATATATTCCATTTAAATAAACTTCGCTTTGTTTTTGTTTAACAATCATAGTATATTCAAATATATTAAACTTTATTGAAATATTTTTAAATTTAATCAAGCAGTTTTATATGTTTTGTATTAAAAGTTTTGTTTTTAGCTTTAATTTAAATATGTAAACCGAAACTATGAATTAAATACGCAGATATTCATTTTTAAGTTATATAAAAAAGTTTTACATCAAGCTTCATTGCCATATATACATAAATGCAATTTAAATAATTATCCTGTTCAATCATAGAAGTTCTTTTGACACACAATTAGTTTCTTGGTCCAGAAATGATTTCTGGACGAAAATCGTCTTCTCTAACAAATACGCACACATACGCACTTCCTTATTCGTGCAATTCTATTTTTAGATTTTTACGCTCTCAACTTTGTGCGAGCGGAGAGAGCCGAATTTTCGTCGCCACCAAAAAACGAGCTGCATATTGCAAAACCAATGTATGGGCGTTACGCATCTTAGTGATTATATTGGTCTTTGGCTAGATCGACTCGGCTAGTGATCCTGAACAAGAATATATATACTTTATAGGCTCGGAAACGCTTCCTTCTACCTATTACATACTTTTGCACGAATACAATATACCCTTTTACTCTACGAGTAACGGGTATAAAAATACCCCATAACCGTCAGCACTTGCGCCAGTGTGAAGCTCAATCGGAAAAAGTGGGTTGAATATAGTGAGTACGGGTTCATTGGTCATTCATTGATGAAATTAGTTTTTGTCGTATTTGCTCGTGCTCCGAGTTCCACTCAAACGATAATTTGTTGTAACTTTATGCATACCGAGGTTTTAACAACTGTGAGAACTGAGGAAAAAATGAACGAAAATAAGAAACATGACCAATAAACTGTCTGTTTGACCTAGCAGATCAGTCAACGCTTTTATTTTCCTTGAATTGGATTCATCTTATAAAAAATTCCAACTTCCTAACTTCAAAAACCCGAACGTTATGGCATTTAAAACTGAGGGACTAGTTTGCGTAGAAACGGACAGACGGACAGACGGACATGGCTAGATCGACTCTCCTGGTGATGCTGATCAAGAATATATATACTTTATAGGGTCGGAAATGTCTCCTTCACTGCGTTGCAAACTTTTGACTGAAATTATAATACCCTCTGCAAGGGTATAAAAATCTCTCGGGTATTATCAGAAGGAGGACAAACGAAAAAAAAAAAAGAGAGAACGCTATAGTCAAGTGCCTCGACTATTAGATACCCGTTACTCAGCTAAAAAAGTTCAAATTATCAATATGAATTCGGCGATCTCTTAGAGCTGGCAGCTTTACAGCACGAGCATCAGCACCAGCGCTGCTTTAGCGCAGTCAGCTTTTGTCCTGCACCAGCAGCTGTGTTTATGTTTATGTTGTTGAGTACACGAGTAACGGTCATAGCGAATAGCTTTCTTTGAAAGGAGTTATCTTTGCCGGGCAAGTGCAACTGTGTACAATGTAAATACATACATATGTATGTATGTGTTTACATACATACACACATACGCCATTGTTTGACTCAGACCTCCAATTTGGCTAACTTGATTTAATTTGCATAGTTCTTGGGATATAGTTCGGTATTGACAAATGAAAACCATCGCAATTTCCTTTAATAGAAATCCTTATCGAGAATTAACGTTGACTCTGTTGAGCACCTTGGCCAGCTGTTCCAAAGTCATCCGTTAGATGGCACTATTGTATGTAGAAATGTAGGCGCTAGCCAGGCTTCAGCCTTTAATGGGTTTTTGGGCGTAAGAGTGGGCGTGGCAAACTTTTATTAGGGCAATCGATAGGTATTGACGAAACAAATACATATCAATTAAAATTTTCATAATACCATCAAAACTGTGGCCACAGATTGTGGCTTGTGGGCGTCAGAGGGGGCGTGGCACCATTTTGAAACAAACTTGCGCTGCGTAGGAACTCCTAAAATCTACATGCAAAATGCCAATCTTCTAGCTTTTATAGTTTCCGAGATCTCAGCGTTCATACGGACGGACAGACAGACAGACGGGCAGACGGACATGGCTAGATCGACTCGGCTAGTGATCCTGAACAAGAATATATATACTTTATAGGGTCGGAAACGCTTCCTTCTACCTGTTACACACTTTTGCACGAATACAATATACCCTCTTACTCTACGAGTAACGGGTATAAATAGCTCACTGACAGATTAACCCCCGTCTGCTCTATATCCTTTTAGACATTTTTTCGAAAGAAAGAAATTCTAGGACACGGCTTTCTTTTTATTTATTTAAAAAAATTATGGAAAGAGTTTTATATTTAACAAAAACGATTAGTATTTTAATTATTATGCCACCTATTTCAAGAAAAAGTTAACCGGTTATTAAATGACTGTCTACATGTACAGTTAATTTACAGTTGGAATAAAAAAATACTAGCACCACTTACGTATTCTGTAAAAACCTTAAAATTTAAAATGGGTAAAAGCGAACTAACGAGTTTGGTATTCAAACAACGCGATGCAAAACATTACATCAATATGTTGTTAGCACAACGGATTTAGGGCAAAAAGTGAACTTAAGCAGGTGCCTAATATAAAATTGACAATGTTAATATTTTTTAAAGAAAAAATCCATGGCTTAAATGCGACACAAGCACATTAGGCTCGAGAAAGGCAAATCAATAAGGGAAAAAGTACCGACTAACGTCTAGGTAAAGTAAAAATTATATTTATGAACATTAAGATAAGTACCTGTTATTTCCAAAACAATTGCTAAATTTATTTTTGGCTCGGTATTCACTTGGCACTCATAGACTCCGCTATCACGTGGTTGAGCGTAATCGATCTTTAAATCCCAATCTTCACTGCTAGGTGGATGTATAACAGAAAACCGTTGATCGCCAGTATACGTATAAATATTCGTTGTAAGAATGTGAAGGTCTCGCTTACGCATCCATGATACCTACAAAGTTCAAATAAATTAAAATAGATTATTTACATTAATAAAATTTTAAGAACCAGAGTGAGGTACATGTGTTTTACGGCTATAAGTACCTAATTAAAGTAAAAGGTACACGCCTATATGTTTATGTAAGGTTATGTGAGCTTTCCTCAAAATTACAGTTGAATTATGTTATTTTTATTCGCACCGGTAATTATGTGTGATTGCAAAAAAACATAACTGAAATGTCGCAGTGGAGTCTCGTTTTTTACACGCTTATACATAAAGTGACGAACTTAATTATGGGCAAAGCACGCATGTTGAACAAAAGGCTATTTTTATACCCTTGCAGAGGGTATTATAATTTTGGTCAAAAGTGTGCAACGCAGTGAAGGAGACATCTCCGACCCCATAAAGTATATATATTCTTGATCAGGATCACCTCCTGAGTTGATATAGCCATGTCCGTCTGTCCGTCTGTCCGTCTGTCCGTCTGTCCGTCTGTCTGTCCGTCTGTCCGTCTGTCTGTTTCTACGCAAACTAGTCTCTCAGTTTTAAAGCTATCGGATTGAAACTTTGCACACACCCTTCTTTCCTTTGCACGCAGTATATAAGTCGGAACGGCCGGGATCGGCCGACTATATCCTATAGCTGCCATATAACTGATTGATCGGAAATGCCATAACTTTCGTGTTTGTAAAGTTAGGAAGTTCGGATTTTCTATGGGTTTTATATTTAGCCAATCAATCCGACCTACCAAATTTCATAAGGATCGGCCGACTATATCCTATAGCTGCCATATAACTGATTGATCGGAAATGCCATAACTTTGGTGTTTGTAAAGTTAGAAAGTTGGGATTTTCTATGGGTTTTATATATGGCCAATCAATCCGACCTACCAAATTTCATAAGGATCGGCCGACTATATCCTATAGCTGCCATATAACTGAACGATTGGAAATGCCATAACTTTGTTGTTGTTAAAGTTAGGAAGTTCGGATTTTTTATGAGTATTAAGAATGCATCATATGAATAATTTTGGAGAATATAATTTATAGAGTATTCTGCAAGGGTATATCAACTTCGGCTCCGCCCGAAGTTAGCTTTCCTTTCTTGTTTTTATCTGATTTTTGAATGAAGAAAAATATTTTAAAATATAATCATTAATTTACTGTTAAATACAAGTGACTTCATTAATTAATCTTTTATAAATAATTTATTAAAAATAAAAAAATGGACCAAATTTCCCTTAACTAAATTATTGGTACACTTGGGTTTAACTAACTATTTTGTTAAAACTTTTTCGATTTGGCCACTTTTTTATTTATCCCATTTGCCTCAATATGGTATTATTATAGCTTAAATTATTTTAGTGCCTTAAAATAAAAGAAGTTTTTTGACTTACAAGGTAAAAATTTAATCAACCGCATGTGTCCAAAAATTAAAATCTAATTAGCAGGATCAAGGCAAATCGAATGTCAAGATAGGGGAAAGGATGCCCAGAAGTCATTTTTACCATTCGGATCGCTTAGCAGCATTTTAAAGAACCCACGCCATTGCAAAATGCAAGGCACACTGGCCGAATCATGGCTTTGAGAGGCCAGGAATGAGTAAGGATCAAATGAAACGATAATGTCAACCCCCAGAACTCCTCAACATCGATCATAGTTAAGGTTAAGAAGGACTTCGGTAAGGATATTTAATATATTTATTTATTAAAGAAAGCAAGAAAATTCCTAGATGAAGCAAGTTTTGTGTTTGATATGGTTATGTTCTGTCTACAGAGCTTGAAGTTGCTGGTATTGTAGTATGCATATACCGTTGTAGCGAGTATGCTCTGTACCAATGTCAACGTTGTGTTACAGTTAACTTACGTAAGCACAAAGTCTCGGCCGTTAAACCCAAGCGGCCGACAGAAATACGATCACCCGAAATGCCCATTCTGCCGTCTTCCCATAGAGATCCATCCACCATCCGATAAACGGATGATCCATAAGGTTTTGCCGTTCCGAAAATTTGGGAACTGATCCAAATTTGAAGGACTTTTTATGCGACAGTTTTTTCGGTGCAACTCTGAGTTCTTTTTCTTGACAGTGAAAATTGAAACATTCACTATAAAAACGTAAACAATAATGATGGGAAACTTTTAAAAATGGAAGACGCCAAATCAATAAATGCTGTTTATACTTGTAATAATTAATTAATTACTGCTCCATTCGTGTGGTAGCATTAAGAGTTGCTCGACTCATTCCTAGGCGCATACCGACCTTGGAGAACGAGAGTATGTCCCCAGACTTATATTTGTGGTTTACAATTAATTAATAAAATATATTAATTGCGGGTACTTGGAATACTTTGTGAAGGTCTTAGATGTGGACCCCGCTAATCTGGAAGCCTCTGCAACGGAAGTCAACGCTCAGGCAGCTCTGCGACCCCTGCAAAGCGCGCAAAGGTGGACCACAAAGCCGAGCTTGTGGAGTGAAAGACTGGAGGAGCAGCGAGCGCAAACCGAGATCATGTCATTGAACTGAGCTTGGCTGTCTGCCATCCTTGACATTAATAATAAAATGAAATATGAAATTATAATAAAACCAATAACAAACATATTTATATTTAATGAACTTGATTTGTTACGATTTAGACAATATTGAGCAATAGCTTTTCTTATTTTTTCTGCAGGCTGGCAAAGATCTGCAGACATGTTAGTCCAATTTGGTTGTTCGCGTAAGTCACTTGCAGTCTGCTACCAAGTATGTTGTAAAATGTTGTGCAAAAAGCAACAGACTAAAATGATTAGCCACAGCTGTTCAGATCAGCTGTTGGTGGTGGTGGATGTGCTCTGTGGGAATCGGAGTTTCAGATTGGTCAAATGCATGTACAACTTCTCTCGCGCTCTCTCTGTTACCAGCTATATGTATGAGCATAGATAATCCTAAGTACATGGCGGCGGCCAAGCCGCTCCCTGACCGCTGTCGGCGTCGGCGGGTAGCGCAGCCGCGAGCCACTAGCTTTTAATGCACTCTCAATTATAAATTCAAACAATAAAGAACAAAATCTGTCCTGTTGGTCAACTACGAATATACTTGAATTATTTCTGGACCTCCACTGAAAAAGCCATCGAAGGCCGTCGATAGGCTATCTCAACATGGCGACCGTGACAGATAGACTCAAATCTGCAACATAAAGAAGATAAGGAAGCAACGGCTACAAAATCAACTGGAAAAACAAAAAAAGTCTTGAGTGAGTAAAATGTATGTAATGGGTAGATGAGTTGTCAAACAGAAGACAAAGAAAAGAGTAGCGTACCTAAATAAACCACCTCTAGCGTGGGCAAGGGTGGGGCCCAAAAATTACAAATTTAATAATCCCTGCTGGATCAGAAGTCGTTAGACAAATTTAAAAGAAGTACTCATAATATATAGCCGATGGTATAATTGTAGCAAGCACTAAAGCCAATTCTAATACACTTTTGTCCGCATTTTAAACAAAACCGATACCAATAAAATTATAAACGTTAACAAAATCGATTATGAACCATTAGATAAATATCTCTTGAGGAATTAGGCAACCTGCTCTGTTGAGGAATCAGGCAACATTCGTATTGTTATTTACTATTTTGTAGTCCAGCTGTCCAGTATATCGATAATCAGCTGTGCATTACGAAAAGCTTCGAAGAGCCACCGTCAGACTGCACGTACGCCACCGCCGATGCCATGAGGGCACGACTGCAACAAGCACTCAAGACTTTTGAGGAACTTTCTGACGAAATCTACAGGTATGAGGATCCCGCCGACGATTTTCAAGTGTGCGAGGGGAAGTACCTGCACGCCCTTATGTTATTTGCCTCGCTGAGGAGTAGACTTCAACCAAACATAAAGCCTTGTACGGACGCAAACATGAGCATGCTGCTGCAGCAGCAAAACTACTTTTTTCAACGATTATCCGACAAACAATCATTCAGCTCCGCCTGCTCATCTGCCGGAAAACCCATTGCCGAAAATCTACACCTTTGGTGAAGACTACAAAGAGTGACTTGCTTTTAAGGATCTGTACGAGAGCACCGTCCACCACAAGAGTCACCTCGGAAGGATTCAAAAGTTTCACTACGTCAATCGGCCGTCGTGGACGTAAATTCCGCATGGGCACGCATCAATGAACGCTATGACCGCCCAAGGCATATCGTGAACTCTTTTTTGGACAAGCTGACCGATGGAGCCAACGAAATCATCCGTGGGTTGGCTGCCATTGAAGAATCCAATCGAGATTGTTGGGGTATTTATCTTGTATTGGCAAAAATCGACCCCGAAACGAGGAGAAAGTGAATCGAGGACAGCAGAGACATAGCATCACCAACCGTTCAGGATTTGTTCAAGTTCCTGGTTGCTCTTTGCGAGGACTAAGAGTTGAGCCTAGCCGCAGCATCACTGTGTCTCAAGCAGGGCAGTTCTTTGGACAAAGCTACCAAAATGAGGCACACACTCGTAGAAAAAAACCGTGCCAATTGTAAAATATGTGGCGCAGTTCCACACCCTGAACGTGGAACAGAGACGCGCCTTTTCCAAGACCAAGGCGCTCTCCTTCAATTGCCTGCGAGCTGGACATCGATCTACACAAAGTCAGTCAAAACATTTGTTCAAACACTGCAAGGGTCGACATCACACTTTTGTACCTCCTGAAAACACAGATGTCATTCCCACTGGCCCTGCCAACATCGCCCAGGCAAACTTCCAAACTGTGAAAGCACCTCAAGCTACATCGCCCAGACTACAGACCCAGGACTTAAAAGAAGCACACTACCCACAGCATTGGTATATGTACAAAACACCAGAGTGACATATCTGTTGTGTGTTACTGGATAGCGGTTCTGAGTTATCCTACGTATCAGAACGTTGCGTCAACGCACTTGGGCTCGCACGTTCACCCTCAAGAATCCTGGTTTTCGGAATCTCTTCTATCAAGGCGGAAACTATACGGGGATTTATACGCTGCCCATCAAATCAATGGTGTCGCCGCACACTTTT